TATACTTTTAAATTAGTCTTTTTAATCTTTTATTCATAATTTCTTCTCAGTTGTTCATATTTTTAAATTAATTTATTTTAAAATTTTCTATTTACATTGATTTTCTCTCTCTCCTTAATTCAGTTGCTGCACTCTAATGTATTAAAGTAAAATACATTACTTTGTTAATGACTTAATATCTAGTCTATTTTTCTTATAAAAATAATAGATATCATTCTTAGGCTTTTTGACCCTTTTGCCCCTAATTAAATAATTAATAACCAATTTGCCCCTCCCCCAGAACTATCTACCATCCTGCCCCCATTTAGTCGATTAAGTTGCACTTTTAATCGACTAAATGGGCTAAACTCAGAAATCATGAAACGCGAATTTTAGTCGACTAAAAACTCACCTTAATCGACTACATTGTTTGCACTTTTAGTCGACTAAGCACATTATTTAGACTGGAAGGACATAGTCATAGTGGTTCAATTTTTCAACCTTGCACACCGCTAGCACATGACTGCAAGGAAATCGTCTAGCTGTGAACCGTCCACATTGACATTTACGATTTAGCAGGTCAACCCTCATAATGTCGCCGACATCATGCGTAGATTGATTGTAGGCATCCTCAACTTCAAACAACTGCAAGTCTCTATCAAAAACACGGACACGGAGATTGACAGTTAACTGATCATTCTTTTGTAAGAAGTCCTCAACCTTTTTTGCAATTCTCCAGCCTTTGTCCTTTACTTTTTGGATCTTTTCACGCCTCTTCACAAAATACTCTACAAGTCTACTTTGCGTCATCTTGACCAATGTCGTTACTGGCAAATTACGTGCACCCCGTAGGACCTTATTGATACACTCAGATAGGTTAGTCGTCATATGACCAAACCTTCGGCCCTCCTCATCATAAGACCTGCACCATTTCTCTTTGGGAATCTGATCTATCCATGAGGCTACTTGTGGGTTACTGTCGACAAATTCTTGAAATCTTAAATCAAAGTGAATCTTCGAACACATGTAACCTTCAAAAAATGAACCCAAATTGCAATGAGTTATACATAAACAACATTACAAACAACATGTACACATTCATGTAAATAGGTTACCTAGTTTCATCAGTGTTTTCTTCAGTTCCACGTCCCTAAACTTAGTGTTGAAGTTGCTTCCAATGTGACGAAGACAGAACACGTGATACGCAAATGGAGGCTGCCAACCGGCATGATCCTTCACAGCCCTGATGATGCTGGGGTGACGATCAGATATTAGACATATACCATGCCTACGTGTGACATGGAAACGCATCTGGCTAAGAAACCACAACCAATCATCCAATCTCTCACCCGGTGGAACAATGGCAAACGCAATAGGCAGAATGAATCCATCACCATCCTGTGACGTAGAAATCAAGAGGGTACCTTTGTATTTCCCGTACAGGTGCGTGCCATCAATTTGGATTATGGGTTTACAATATTTGAAAGCCTCAATGCACTGGTGAAAAGTCCAAAATTCCCTGCGAAAGACAGCCTTATCGGTGTAGACACGTCGTTCGTCACAACACTGGTCCGTATCAATCTTGAACACAGAACCAGGATTTATCTGTGTCATGTAGGTCAGCCAACCAGGTAAGATGGCATATGATTTTTCCCAGTCCCCAAACAACTTCACAATTGCCTTCATTTTAGCCTTCCTATAAGATATGTTGTATCCATACAAACTTTGTACCATCTCCTGAATAAGAACTGGTTTCGTGGATGGATCTTCTTTTAACATACCTATAAAAAATTCGAAGTCAACACAATCAATAAATATACCGAAAAAATTAAACCATAAACAAAAATTCTGTAATACATACTTATAATGGCTGCACAGATTACATCAGAATCCAGCTGTCTATGGTCCCGAGTAAGGCCTTGGTTTAGGCAAGTGTGTTTTTTACCCCACTTACTAACAACCCAACTATTTCCATTCTTGGGCAACATAGCCCGCACGTACCAGGGACAACCATCATTATGGTGTCGACACTTCATCACAAATCTATGGTCATCACTTTTTGTCACCACAGCAGTACGATGAGACTTCATACAATATAATTTGACTGCATGTTGCATTTCAAATTTAGTTCGAAACTCTTGGTACAAATATAATTGATCCCCTAAATGCCAGCCACCGTGGATGTCATCGTCGCCATACAGTATCTCCGTCTCATCATTAGGGTGAGCCCAATTAATGAACGAATAGTGTGGGCTGTCGTTCCAAAATGGCTCAATCTCAGAACCTACGTCCAAATTTAAACTTATTCGTCAGTATGAAAGAAAACACAAATATATATATATATGCAAAATTAAAACTTTAATTTACAATCTTACCACTGCTAACAGGGTCAACACGGAGCGGTGGCATAACCTGGGAACTCAAGTTTCCTGAACTAGTATCAGCGTCAAAATTCTCCTCTACGTCCGTATCTGAGGTGTCACCCAGCGGAATAACACTCTCGGGTTCACCATCGTCTTCACTGTCCATATCCCCGTCATGCTCATCCTCATCCTCGTCTACTTCCCTCAGTGGTATTTGACTTAAGACAGGTGCAGGTGCAGATAAACCAACCACTCTGTCTTCTTGACTTTGACTTCTTCCATGCACAGGTGCAGATGAAGATTGACCACAGTCTATTTCAACATATATCTCAATAAAGTTTTGAAAATTTCGGTCCACAATTGCATCTATGACACAGTCCACATCTTCATCGTCACATATATCATTACCAATGTAGAATATAGCATCCTTACCAACTGTAGACTCTATCCTGGCGATCATCCGTTGAACGCCATGGCTGCCGTGTAGCCCCAATTTTTGGTGAATCCTCCCCTTTAGCTCATTGTACGTAGTGCCCCGTTTGATTTTCAACATTTTCGTTTTTCCTTCAAATTGAACACCGTTGGGGCCTTCATAATGCTTTCCATCATAGTAAATCATGGTAACATACATGTTTGGACTTGAGCTCATCTTTCACACGAATTTTGGGGGTAGGAATCGGATTTTAGGGTTTTGGGTTCAGATTTGGGGGAAAAAATTGAGAAATAAAGGAAAATGACAATGATTTCACAATTACTATGCCTTAGAGGTGGTGTAATGAAATGGAAGGGTGATTGGAAGGTTCACAGCTGACAAACAAGAGAAAGAGACCAAGGGAGGAGTTTTACATTCGAATATAATGAAAATGAGACCAAGAGAGGTCTGGATATAGGGTTTTCCGCAATCTTTAGTCGACTAAATAATGTGCTTAGTCGACTAAAAGTGCAAACAATATAGTCGATTAAGGTGAGTTTTTAGTCGACTAAAATTCGCGTTTCATGATTTCTGAGTTTAGCCCATTTAGTCGATTAAAAGTGCAACTTAATCGACTAAATGGGGGCAGGATGGTGGATAGTTCTGGGGGAGGGGCAAATTGGTTATTAATTATTTAATTAGGGGCAAAAGGGTCAAAAAGCCTCATTCTTAACTTTTTTAATTTTTCATACATATTTTTGAATAATTTTAAATGTTCCTATTTAATAATTTTAAATATTCCAATCTAGTTAAAAGAAATAAACTACCAAAAAAATGCAACACAATTAATAGATAGTTGGGTTCCTTAAGCATGCTAAATATTCAATTCCTGATCGTGAAAGAATTAATCTTCAGCGGCCGACTGGATGATACCCTGGAAAATCAAAAATAAAATAAAAATAAATTACTTTCTATTTTGAATGATAACGAGCACTTACTCATTTTAGGTATACCAAATGTCAGCAATAATTTTTTTATATTATTTTCATTAAATAATTATTTTTATTAAAATTATTAAATAACTCAAAATCATTTTTTAGTGAATCTAAGGTAAGATTTCATCTAATAGTAAATAATGTATGGGTTTGATATTTGTTCTTTTAAAGAATATAGAGTTGTATCATTTTAAATGAGAAAAAGACACAAATAATAAAAATTATGAATGGAGAAAGTGAGTGATTTTTTAATCTAAATTTTAATTAAAAAATATTAATTTTTCTCATTTAAAATAATATATCTCTATGACTTTTAAAATGACAAATATTTTTCTAGTAACATAATATCATTTTATTAATTGTTTATCATACTGTTCACCAAACGACATTAATCTAATTTGGTAAAACAGACAACACACTTTCACAGTTTACAGTTGCACACCGTACATTCAAGATATTAATATTTCTCGTATTGTTAAAGATATTATTTTCTGTATACACAAAACTGTACAAAACTCGTGTACAGTTATATGAAGTGAAAAATGAGAGAAAAAAATATATATCAACCTCACAAATATTTATTTTTATATATTTATAAAAAATAAAATTATCTCCTAACATTTGTTAATCGACATAAACCTCAACTAAACCAAACAAAAACAAGTTTTCTAACTCACAAAAATATTTTCAGTACTACAAATATATTAGATAGTGTTTGGTTGAAGATTTATTTTGGGATTGATGGGAAAGTGTAAGTGGATATTGAAAAATACCACGTTTGGTTCAAGTTTTTTCAAGAAATACCTGACAAATAGGATAGATGGGAAAATGACTTTTGTGTTGATTTTTGGATGAAATTCACTGTTACAGAATACCACTTGAGATGTGGTATTTTGAGATAATTGGGGAAGTGAAAAAACATGTGCAAAGTTTCTCCCGAACATAGATTTTGCATATTTAAATAAATTTCCCCGGTAATATTTGGATCAACCAAACAACTTTTTTTACATTTTCCTACCAAACTCACTTTCCAACCATTTCTCTATCAATTACATTTCCCTAGTAAATTTTTTTTTTCCCGAACCAAACACTACCTTAAGAACTCGATATATTTTTTTATCAAATATGAAAAAAATATATATATATATATATATATATTTACACTACTTTTATTTTCATAGTTATTTTTTTCTATATTCCTATTTGTACCGAAAATACAATGGTAACCCACAGCTTCAACGATAAGGTGAATACGGGCTAGACCCAAATTACCAGTGGCTATGCCTAACCCACAGCTTCTACCCATTTTATTGTCTGCAATCTGCTCCTCCTTTATTCAATGCCGTCATGCCCATACCTTCCCTACTTAATTCTGTTAGTTTTCCGCTCATCTACTTTACCCACACTCCTCTCTCTCTCTCTCTCCATAAATTCAATGCTCTTCTCTCTTTTTCTTCATAAACTTCTTTCTTTGTCTTTAGTCTTTATAACTATACTCAATTTGACCCAACTCTTCTTCCATCTCCAACATGGAATGCTGTATAATCAATAAGCTCAAAACTCAACCTTTTTGGTTCATCGTGCTCTTCGTTCTCGGTCTCTTCACGATTCTGAGATTCGCTTTCCTTTTCCTCAGATGGGTATACGTCAATTTCCTCAGGGCTCCCAAAAACCTCAAAAAGTACGGATCTTGGGCTATCGTTACTGGACCCACTGATGGCATTGGAAAATCCTTCGCCTTTGAGCTTTCTCGCAAGGGTTTGAATCTGGTCTTGGTGGGTCGGAACCCCGACAAATTAAGGGACGTGTCGGATTCGATTCGTGCCAAGTTCGGAAAAACCGAGGTTAAGACCGTTGTCGTTGATTTCGCCGGCGACCTCAACGAGGGTGTGTCGAGGATTCGCGAAGCAATCGAGGGGTTGGATGTTGGGGTGCTGATTAACAACGTTGGAATCTCGTACCCTTACGCGAGGTTCTTCCATGAAGTGGACGAGGAGCTTCTCAAGAATCTGATTAAGGTGAATATCGAGGGAACTACTAAGGTTACTCAAGCTGTTCTTCCTGGGATGCTTAAGAGAAAGAAGGGAGCAATTGTTAACATTGGTTCTGGTGCCGCTATTGTGATTCCTTCTGATCCTCTTTATGCTGTTTATGCCGCAACCAAAGCGTGAGTTTGTTGTTCTTGAATTCTACTTGTATTCACCGAGATTTGTTCTTTTTGGAGTTGGCTCCCATGTATGTGTAACACGTGTGGTGTGTTCTTTTCTATGCTGAAATGATGTTCTATGTTCATGGCTTCAGGTACATCGATCAATTCTCCAGATGTCTTTATGTTGAATACAAGAAGAGTGGGATTGACGTGCAGTGTCAGGTATTGTGCTAATTGTTTTGAATCATTCATGTTACAGACTTCTTGCTTATTTAGCACTTTGTTTTGTTTTGGGGGTAAAAAGTATTTTTTTTTATGTGTTAAAAAAAAAAAAAATCCTCCATATTCAAGTTTCAGCCAATTAGCTACTGTTCTGTATTAGAGCTAATTAATTACCCGTTAGAGGAAGATGGAAATCCAGCTGAAGTCAATTGAAATTTTATGATAATGATATAAAAGTACAAGCTTTGATGGCGGTATCTTTCTCATTATTATATACTTTAGCATATCTTTTCTTTTTTGAACTAAGTCATTGTCATATATATGAATACTTATGTGCATACATAATCTGTATTTGGAAAAGCACAAATCTTTAGAGGAGGGACCATTTCGCTACTCTATTAAAAAAGGGTACTTACTTACACTTTTATGACTTAATATGTAACCTCAAAAAGGTAGTGCTGTATTCTGTTTTTAGAGGGAGTGTCGAAGCTAATCTCATTTTTAGTGTATAATTTTTTTTTTCTTGTATAAGCAATGGACAAAATAAACGGAAAAGAATCCCCTTTACTTTTTACCTCTTTTGAGTTGAAGCAACTATGGCTATAAAATTTGGTGAAAGTTGAGGACTTGATATGCTATAATTCTGTTTAATATATTGATCTTTGTTTACAACTTGTTGATGATGAGAATCTACGAAGCACCGATACTCCTTAAATCGGATACGCGTATCGGAAACATATTGTATCGTACCGACATCCCATGTCGAGAACATATTGGAAACGTATCAAAAACGCCTTGTCGGAATCGGTGCTTCATGGATGAGAATTCTAGCCCGTGTTTTTATTTCTGTGTGTAATTTTTTTTCTCCAAATTTCTGATGGAAATTTTTGTGTATGCAGGTTCCACTATATGTGGCAACGAAGATGGCATCAATCAAGAGATCTTCATTCTTTGTTCCATCAACAGATGGGTATGCAAAAGCAGGTGTGAGATGGATAGGCTATGAGCCTCGTTGCACACCATACTGGCCCCATACCATTCTTTGGGCCATTGCACGCTCATTGCCTGAGTCTATTGTTGATGCTTGGCGTCTGAGGTTTTGCTTGGGTATTCGAAAGAGGGGTCAACTCAAAGATTCAAGGAAGAAAGAATAAAAGGAGCCATAGATGTTACTGATACATTACTAGATTAAGATTCCAAGTACCTGCTATGTTTCTGAATTTCATACTACTTTTGCTAGTCTTTATGAGTTTCAATTGTGTGGCCTATTCTTTTTCCTCTCCCATCTTTGGGTGTTGTTTCTGTTCTCTGTTCTAGGATGTTTGAACTCATGAATTGGTATAATCCCTTAACTCTCTTTTCTCAGGTGTGTTATTCCTTCCTTTTTCTAGTCTAAGGATACTTGGAATCTGGTTGGTTTAATTATATTTATAACAAGTAACAGGCTTCGTCATATTTAGCCTTTTAAGATTAAAGCTCGACTTGGTTCGGCCTGTTAACACTCTGAAAGAATCCTGGTTCGTTTAGCACCCCTAATCCGTAGCATTAGGAGGCCTTTGTGGTTTGAAGCCAACACCGAAGATTTTTTTTAGCAGGAAATTAAACTGAAGATATTATTAATCACATTGTGAATTATGGCGTAAACTAAAAAAACCATACTGTATCTATCTATGTATCTATCTATTCCGTACTAAAAGCCAAAAAACTTTTTTGAATGCCTTATGGCGTAAACTAGTCTTGTATGAAATACTGATTAATGATCACAGAAGAACCATTATCAAGTTTACCTTTTAAATTGAAACACCTTTCGAATCCTATTATTCCACTCGATTTTCGTAGCTTAAAACATATTTGCAGACCTATAATCTCACTTCATTTGTGCTATTGCAAACTATATATCTTCCCCAAGAACAAAAATATGAAAGCGATTAATATGCATATGTTTCCGTTTCAAATTTTTTGTTTTGTCGAGGCAGGTTATATTTACTGGAAAGACTATATTTATTACCAATTTTTCTTATTACTTTTTGGAACAGTGATTAAAGTGTCATTTTTTGCTAAATTTTTTATTCAAATGCCACGCGAACAATATTTTTTATCAGACTGCCACGTGTCATAATTCGCTATCACTAGTAGTGAATTTCGTGGTCAATGATTTCGTGACACGTGGCCATATTGTAGACCAAATTCGCTATCACTAGTAGTGAATTATGACACGTCAGCTTTTTCATACAAAACTGTGTCACGTGTCATAAAATCATTGACGAATGTAATTTGCTACCATTCATTGGCGAATTACGCCCACGTGGCAGTTTGGTAAAAAGTATTATTCGCGTGATATTTGCGTAATTTTTTTTTGCCAAAAAGTGATATATATTTTTTGTAATAAAAAGTGATATTTTGGTCACTGTTCCTTACTTCTTAATATCAAATCTTAACCGTTGATTTTCGTCAATCTAACGGTTATAATTTATTAGAAATTAATAATTAATTAATAAGCATGACTCCATAAATTACAAATATTAGATTGGCGGAAATCAACAGTCAAAGGTAGTAAGTATAACCTCGCTCTATATTTACATCTTTTTTTTTCATCTTTAGAGTCATTTTATCATTGTCAGGTTAAAATTAAATTAATGACAATAAATTAACTTCAATTTTCAATCTAATGATAATGAAATAATTGTATGGAAATTGTAAAAATATGAATGTTATAAATATAATCTCCCTCATAATTTCTCATTTTTCTCGCTTGCAAAATGAGAAATTTTAAGAAAGTTGCATAATGTAGATCAAATTTTGATGAATATGCAATGAAGTTTTTGAATAAGATATGCGAATGAAATTTTATAAGTTTACACCTGTTTAGAGCTTTGTAAGTGAACCTGTGCACATATATTTTTTCTGATGTAGATAGAGTGCGTAAAGGAAGAACCAGAAATTTTATATTATGAGAGTTAAATACTAAATTATTTCACCTGTGTAGTCAAATATTAATTTATATAAAAAAATTAATAAATATTTTGAGCAATGAAGGAGTTGTGATTGTCGTCAGCTCCCTTGGCTACACGTTTGAATTTTGAAGAAAATAAAAATATATCCCTTGAGAACTGTTTAATAACTTCTTGACCCTTATTTAACAAATTCTACACTAACAAGAATATATATTTAGTGAGTCAAAATAAATCCTAAAACCTGTCCAAAAATAAAATAAAAATAGATTTAATTTTGATTCACATTATAAAATGCTAAATTGTCAAGAAGCTAGATTATTACTATAATTGTACGATCATAAAAAAATCATTTTAATCAAATTTTACTCTATTATTTAATAAGTTATACTCAATCTTGGTCTATTAATATTATTTATATATAATGATTCAAATTTATTAAATATTTGACCGTTAAATAAAAAACAATCAATAACTAAAATTTAGTATAAACACCCGTATGTGAGAATATAAATATTATACATTAATAGGGAAGGATAGAACCTGAACCTGTGAGGTTTTGTGGTGCCGCCATGCCATAAACCCCATAGCCCTGAGTTATTATATTATATGCAAGGTTCGATTTTACCAATAGAATCGTATATTAGGGTTAAGCGTAAGCAGTGACTGAAAATGGCGATGGTGAGTTCTGACAACACCAACGTCGTCTTCATCGACACCAGCCTCGATACACACTTGGCCGTCATCGTTTTCGACCACGACACCGTCTCTGACCTCAAAAGTAATCCCATTTCTCTCTCTCTCTCTCTCTCTCTCTCTCTCTGCTTTCACTTTCTCTGCTTCAATTTTTAGAGAGTTGCATGTTTTTGATTCTGGAATAATATTGCTTAAGAAATTATTTAATTACTTGATTAAGGTTGGCTTTGATTTCAGCTCTTGTCATAATTCTCGTTCTTAATAGATTGCATTTGGGAACCTTAATGTAAAAAAAATACTATTAATTCTTGTTATAGTGATGACCTTTTGTTGAACATTTAAATGATATGAATGCATTTCATTTGTAGAGAGAATTCTTTCAGAACACCCATTATGCTTTCCGAAAATTGGGCAGATACAGATTCACGGGATAAAGGTACACTGCTTGATCCACTTCTGCTCAAGCCATGGTTGTTGTCTTGTTTACTATATTGTTTTGCTGACAAAAGCAATGGTTTTTGTTTTGTTTTGTTGTTGTTGGGTAGGTAAAGCGCAAGGGGTACTACTATCATCTATCAGATTCCATGTTTGTGAGAAGTGCCTTTAATGGTTTCAACAAGAGCTGGTTTCTTAATGTTGATGCTTCTGCATTGGGAGAGTGTGGACAAAATGAGCAATTATTTGCTTCTGGTTCTCCTAACCAGTTGGCCTGTCTTGACATTGCAAATAATGCTTTAATTGATCCCGTTGATAATGCTGTGATTCTTCCATCCAAAAGGGTGTCCGGTCTCGACAATTCTCCGTTGCTGCAATTGGAGAACAAACAGAATCAGAATGAAGAAATTCCTATTATTAGCCCGTGTATTTCAGAACATACAGGAAAAGAAGCTGTCGAAAGTTTGGAGATAGGTGTTAAATCATCTGGCAATAATGACACTGGAATTCCATTAACAGGTTCAGTTCCTGAGACACTGGACCATTGCTATGTAAATCATGAACTTCCAAGTTTAAATATTGAACGTGAGGTAGATGGCTCTGGTAAAGGCACTACGGATGATTGTAATGTTTGCAAGGAAGATCCTTCAATAGCTGAGCCAAGTGCAAAGAAAAAGCGAAAGAGTAAAAGGCAAAAAGAGGACTCAATGCGAGATGATAATTCAAAAGATAATATTGCTTCTGTTGATAAGCCTCTCAGTTTTCCATCCAAAAGGACATCCAGTTTAAGTAATTTCCCAATGCCACAATTGGACAACAAACAGGATGAAAAAGCAGAAATTCCTTTTGTCAGCCCTTTGTTTTCAGAGTATACGGGAAAAGTTGTCAAAAATTTGGAGATGAATGTGAAATCCTCTTGCAATAATGATCTTCCAAATTCACATGTTGAATGTGAAGTAGATGGATCCAATAAAGGCATTAAGGATGATTGTATTTCAAAATCTGTGCCAAGTGCAAAGAAAAAACAGAAGAGCAAAAGGAAAAAGGAAGACACAGTGCAAGATGATACTTTAAAAGAAAATGATCCTTCTGTTGTTGAACCAGCTAATTATAAGGTTCAGCAGGATATTGTAGTCCTAGCAAACCCTTCGGTGAATGCAGATAAAGAAGTAATTAAGGAAACTGAAGTTTTAAAGGAGCATCAGCACACTGAATGCAGCAATAACAACTATAAGAATGACATTGATGCAGTGTCAATAAAAGAGGCTTCAGACCCTGGACCTGCTGCAAATAAGAAGCCTAGGAAGAGGAAGAGATCTTTGACTCGTGATTCTAAAGAAATGTCGAAAGTAGAGACAGCATCTCAGACGGATGAAGCACAGAAGTCTGACGAAACACGTAAGGAAAGGAAAGAAACAAAGGATCAGTTTGAACTTAATGACAAATCTAGGGATGATGTTGAATATAAGCACAATAAGGTTACTGAAGATGTTTCAGATACCAGACCTCCTGCAAAGAAAAAGCCGAAGAGAAAAGAGAAAAGTTTGTCCAAGGAAAAGTTGATAAGTGATTTCAATATAGACAATGCTTCTTCACACTTTTTGGAGGACCAACAGAAGATTAAACACAGCAGTGCTGACCAATCAGCTCAACATATAAATGACTCGGATCCACTCAGAACCAGTGTGCTGGGTGGGAGGAGTAAAAGAAAGACAAACTCATCAAATCCTCATGAAACACCTGTTGTTACTTCTTTCAGGAAAGATGGTGAAGCAGATCGTTTTAACATTCAAGGAGGTGTTCAGGAGGAAACATCTGAAGATGGTCTATTCTCTAAAGGTGATACTACTCAGTAAATGTGGGAAAATAGAAAAGTACCTGTATTTTAGGTTGTTACCTTGTATCATGTTAATATTAGTTTGATATGCTTATTTTATTGAAATCGAATTAGTAATTAAAGGCAATAATTTTAAAAAGTGAAAGAAATTTTAAATAATTGCTGATCTTTTTTTATTTTATTTTATCTGGGGTAGATATCAGTATGAGCAAAACAACTCTTGACAACATGGATACTGGAACAGATGCAGGCAATGAAGGCATTGTAGGAACTGGAACTTATATGAACCATTCTGTTACTGAAATAAAAGCGCACCCTTCTGATGTGAATGAGTCCCAGGAGCTGACTGAGGATAATGCGAATGTTGTCCTTGATCATTGTCATAAAAGTCAAGCCACTCAGACTGGCGGAGCTGAGGAAGGAAGAGAAGTATCATCACAAAGTGATCCTAAGCTAATGCTGTTAGAAATGTGCACACCATCCAACCAGGATAACAGAGATACAAATGTCAGAGAATTAAATGTGACTTCAAAAGTTGTCGATGTGAATGACCTTGTAAAATCAGAGAAGAAGAAAAAAAAGGGGATAAGAAGAGCTAAGGATTCAGGTGGAGGACCGGCACTTACAGAAGGTATTAGCCTTGTAGATGCTTCTGAGAGTGAAACTGTTAATGTCAAGTCTGTTAAAGCAACTGATCCTATGTCAGGAAATACTGAGACAGAGGAAAACCCTCTAAATCAAGCAGAAGGGAAAAAAATAAGGCAGGAGGAAATGAAAGGGACTGTTCTTTCTGCTACTGATATGGAAGATGATTTTAGTACTGATAATACTGGTTCCTTGGAAAAAATTAAAACTAAATCTAATGCTGAACATGTGGATGAACATGCTGACAAGATACAGAGAAAGAAATCAAACAACAAACAAACTTCTACCTCAGAGAGCATATCAAATATGCTAATAAAAGATAAAGGTCTTGATAGTAAGAAACCATCACCATCTTCTGACAGTGGAATACATGCCAACCCTTCATTTAAGATGGCAAAGAAAAGTAAGTCTGCAAACACGAAGTCCACTAACAAATCAAGCAAAACAAATTTGGAACCTGTGAAAGACTCTGTTGGACTTGAATCTTCTGACATGCTTGTTGACAAGATGAATGAAGCAGATAGAACAGGCGTCGAGAAAATGGTTCAAAATAAAGCAGGAAAAGCATCAGGGAATGATGTCTGGAGAGTTGTAAGTCGCAAACAGCAGAAGAGGAGCTTGTTGGCGGGAGAAATTTTCAAGGATGATAGTAGTGGTACCTCTGAAGATGAAGGTGAAGTTGATAATTCTGATGCCAGCACTAGAATTCCATTAGATAATTCAGTCTTGTCTGATTTTTCAGATGGGGATAGTAGTGCAGGTCTGGATTCACATCAAAGTGGTAACTGAAATCTATTTTAATTTTAATCGGGAGTGTGCCTTTATGTTTGAATCAGTTGATACTGTGCATATGAATATTCTTTAATTTCTGTGGGTGGATGAGTAAGTGTCTGGTTGTGTTAGTTAGGGTGAGATATGTTCTTTAGTAATTTGGTAATCACTTGTTAGTCGTAATATGTTGTGTTAAAGAGCTGGTAATATATAGGTGATCATTTATTAATGTTGAAGATGTTGTATTTCTTGGAAATTGAGATCAAAAGCTTGTTTGTTCCCTGCTAGTTTTGAGAATTATTAAGTTACATTCCTGAGATGTCACTTTGTGTTAAAAGATGAATGGACAATTATTAAATCATTGCAATTCAGTTTTTTTCAATTGGGGCTCGTCCATTTCTATTCCATGAAATTATAGGCAAGCACTCAGCTAGTCGATGAGCATTTGAAGCTCACCACTTTCCTAAAGATTTACTGCGGAAACTAGTTGGGGCACTGCAATGAGCCAGCTGTTTTTCTTATCTATTGCTTACCTAGACAAGTTGTGCTATCTCACTTTGTCGTTAAGATTATGGTAGTATTTTATCCACTATGTCATCATCAGTGTACCATTTGTTATATCTTTTTGTGTTCCTCTAGAATATGCATCCTGTTATATTTATTTTTTGAATCTTGATGTTGGTATGAATGAAAAACTTGAATTAAAGATTTATATGGCTACGAACACAATTTATCTTGTCTCTTCATAAAAATAGTGATTATACAATATGGAACCAATTTCTTTCTCTTTTTGAATCAAAATGGATCAGGTTTCAATAGTGGGAAAAGGCTGGAAAATGGAAGAAGCTCCATAGAAGCAAGGTAAGTCAAAGAATTGCATTTCTGCTGATATAAATTGGCAAAGTCGTTTGCATTTTTTTTTTTTTTGGGGCCATTAATCGTTTGCATGACAATTTTCAGCAATAAGTGGTTTCCTATGCGTCTCTTTCTGCTACCATTCTCAGTTTTATTTTTCATTATTTGAAACTTCGTTTGACGTATATGAGCATTTACATGCGAACACAATCTTGAAAGTAATAGTTTCTTTTTTTCTTTTTTCTTTTTTTTGTAAGTAGAAAAAGTAATAGGTTTTTTAGTTGATTATATCAAGGACTTTGACTCTGGTCAGAACTTACAGTTGGCCAATAAAATTATTTTTTCCCGTATTGACGTAACATAGCTAGACTTGAGTATATTCTTTGCGCCTTTTTAATTTATTTTTGGCATTTATATATGCCAAAGGAAAAAAAGAGCTGTTAAGGGTATCTTTAAAAATCTATTTGTCATTTTTATTTTAGTTTATTGTATAAATTTATGTTAAACGTCAATATTTGATTGCTCCATTATAATGTGAAACCTTTCATAGGATAGTTTATTCATAGTGAATTGAGCCACTCACATCCACCCTCGTTCAATCGCCTTGTTCTCTTATATTATGGCTTGGGCAGGGCGTTGCCAAAATTTTTAACTGTATCTACCATGTTCTAACGCCACATGAATCTGTATCACGAAAAGTTTTCATCTACTTGTCCAAAGTTAAGGACACGAGTAATTAAGGATATTTATTATATGTAAGTGATTTTGCCGTTAGCTAGAACATGCATTTTGTTACTTATTGCTGAACAATCATCAATGTCAACAATGTCTTTATCTGATATATTTATTGCTGAAGAATAATATATCATGAAATTTGAAAGGGGATGGGGAAGAGCTGGCGAAACCTTGCTGCTCAAAATTATTGCTTTAAAATTCTAAACTTCCATTCTTTCATCTCTACACTATTGAAGATAATATATGTCTTAGGGGCATCTCTTATGTTTTAGGTCTCATCATTCATGTCTTGTGTTACATAATTGACGTAGCAGTAGGTGAAATTCTGAATCCTTCTTTGGGCAGTTTGTCAGGCACAAAAGGGATATCAGTTGATCGTATTCTGAGAAGCTCAAGCAGGTTTAAGAAGGCTAAAATATCGGCCTCTCAATTGGAAGAAACTGAACGCCAGCCAGAGTTCGTTCCAGACAGCCTTGCTGACATGTAATCACAAGTTTCAGCAGAAAAAAAGACACGTAACCATAGCAATATGGTATTTTTGCCCATTTTTGTTCTCTTCTGGAGCTGGTGTCTGGCTGTAACTTGAGTGTTAATTCCTCTTGTTCTTTACCTTCTTTCCTAATTGAACGCTAGTTTGCTTTCTAAGCCTGTTTACCTATCAATGTTATATATTACTTCTACTATATTGATAAAAAACAAGGTGTGTATTAATCGAAGTTCTCAAGAAATGTGTCAAGCCCATGCCCACGATTTGACTTCTAAGGCACAATGAATCTATAATTCCAAGACTAAAGTCAGCAGAAACTCGTGTTAAAACATATAATTGTTACACTTATTTCACGTAGCTCTAATCAAAATAAGAAAAAACGTAGAAGGCCAAGAGACATTGAGAAATATAATACATATACATAGCTTTAGATACAAGTTACAAGCAAGTGGTAGGATAAACCATTACACAAAAATCCCCTAGTTTAGAATAAACAGTCACTCACTGGGATCTCATCCTGTTGATCTGGTTGAGAGCTGGCTGCAAAATGTTGTAGAGCACCCAAACAATGGCAGGTGCAACCACAAACAGAAGAAGCTGTCCTCTGTTATCACTGGCAGCAGCATCAGCAATCATAGCCATCTCACTGGCTGATGCATCTGGTGCTGACACCAAACCTGTGGCTGTTAACCCACCGAGCCCAATGATCACACCCTTGCTGCTACGCATGCGGTTGATTTGGTTCAGTGCTGGCTGCAGAATGTTGAATAGCACCCAAGCTATTGCTGGAATTATGGGCAACAACAGTGCTAGCCCACGGTTATCACCTTCTGCTATTTCAGCTATTTGTTGGGCAGCGAAAGCTGCTTCACAGCTTCCAAGGGAAGAGAAAATGGCACCAGCAATAGCAGTTCCTGCTATGGAAGTTGACATCATGTTAGTGTTCTCAGCTTCTTTTGTGAGGCCCTTTGGCATGTTCTGAAAGGATGAAAAGAGGGAGGGGGTGGGTTTTGAAGTTGTGAGCTTTGTGTTGGTGGGGTTGTGCAACTTGGGTGACAGGCACTTTGAGTTGATCATGGCCATTGTTGCTATGGTTGCTGCCATTGATGAACCTAGCTAGCTTAAGCTTTGTATGGGAACTCAGACTCGAGAATGGCAGAGAGTTTCTCAAGGTGTTGCAGCAGAGAGGGAATTGTGGTACACTTTGGAATATAGATGGGAAAGCCAAGTCGGAGAAATGAGGTCCAATAAGATTGTGTATCTCTAGATTCTTCTCTTATCCGAACTGTTTCATGGGTGAGATTTGGACCTCATATTCATTTGTTTCTTATCACTTCACATGCTCTGTGAAATCTAGTATAGTATATATAAGTCGCGTGTCTCTCTCAAACTATAATTGTGACAATGTGGAATATTGTGTGTGCATATACATATATAATTGGGCCTGAAAACCGAGCCCAAAACATTGAAAGACTCAAGTCAAGTAGGGTATTGTTTTCGACTCTTGTTTCATGACTTTCATCAATTCAATCAGCCTAAATAACAAAGAATAATACTTACCCCATTCCCTCATATATGATATATCGTTAGACAAATGTCACAGTTTTTATAATTTAATTATAGTTAATCACCAATTTTTTTTATAATTATTTAGATTTTGATTCTAAGGTAAAGTTCAAATATTTCCTACCTAGTTTATTCTAAAAAGCCTATTTTGTTCTGTGAAGACTGAAGTAAAGGAAGCATTAGATCTTTTATTCCTACACCGTAAACAATAAATTTGTAATTTTTTTGAAGAGTGAAATTTGTAAACAATAAACCTATATGCACTTGTGACATATTTTTATGAGGAATGTTATATTTCTAATTATTATTTTTTACAATCTCTTACAACCATGTCTTAACACCGTTGATTTCCGGCAATCAACGATTATCATTTATTGTGAATTAATAATTAATTAATGAATTTAATTTGTGAAAATGATAATCGTTGATTGGCGGAAATCAACAGTGTTAAGATATGGTTGTAAGAGGTTATAAAAAAAAATAGTTGTAAGTATAATCTTTCCATATTTTTATTTATAAATTATAATTTAAACGAACTGAACAGAAAAAACTAGCTAACATTTGAAATAATATGTTTGGTGTTGGGGTGCACCAAACTTTATTAAAAAATGGATTTCATTAATCATTGTTAAAAACAATAATAAAAAAAAAGGAAAACAACCACGTGAAATAAATAAAACAGGATAAAAATTAGAAGTGTTGACCAAAAAAGGAAAATAGAAAGTACTATGAAACTTATTTTTTGTGATAATGGTGGGGCCATTTTTTAATTTTTTAAAAACCCAACAAAGGAGGAGGAAAGGAACCTCAACCTTAACCTTTGCTCAAATAATATCACCACAACACAAATTGCATTTGCATTACTCACGCCATTTCCACTGGTGTGTGCTCCTCTCACTACACCACTCGTATATATCAACCGGACCGGGCTTTAGGGTTTCTTTATTCTTCAAACCGGTTCGTTGCGAACCCATTAAATGGCTGCTCAGTTACCTTGCGCGCCGAATATAATTTCTGCTCCGTTCGCGAACCGGACCAGGATCCATTTCCCACATCGACCTCACTCCCACGCTTTTTCCGGTTCGACCAGGCACTTTCTTCGCGGCTCGCTTTCCGTTTCCCGGTTCGGATTAAAGCCCGGTTTCTTGCCCGAACCGGATGACGCCGAAGGCTTCATCAGGGAGCTGTTTGGCCGAGCGGAGGGCCTTCTTTACACGATTGCCGACGCCGCCGTTTCTTCTTCCGATACGGCGGCAACCACCGCCAAACAAAGCAACGACTGGCTTTCTGGAATATCCAATTACATGGAGAGTGTTCTCAAGGTAATTGTTCTCTGAAACTCCGAACTCTTTGATTCAACCGGATTTGATTTGATTTTCTTGATGTGTGAAATCGAAACCGTGATTTGAATTATCAAATACTCTGGCCGGAGCTTAATTCATTTCCATTGAAAGGAAATTCAGTGTAGCTCTCTACAGTTCGTACTTGTTGGTGGTGGTGGTAGGTAGGGTAGGGTTCAGGTGCGGATGATTAGTGGTGTTTACTGTTGTAGTTGAGAAAAATCACTAGCGAATGGAATTCTATCGATGCAATTTCCCAAACTTAGGTCTAGGTGCCATGGAATCGACTTTGAAGTTATGGTGATATTTTTCACAATAGGAATGAAATAATTTATTCCGGTCAAATATCAATATGTGTAAGTTGAAGTGCTTGAACTGCTGATTTGACGAACTTTATTATTTTATTTTATTTTGTTGACACTTAACAATAAAATTATTAAACCAATGTGCTAGATTCTTCCGCTGATAATGCATGGTACCTTTATATATGAATATGTAGACTCCATATTGAGAACAATTAACAGAAGTTGTGATTTGCAAGAGCATCCTTGTTTTAACCATAGTTATCAAATGCGGATTGCGGCATGTCGCGGCCAACCCTTAAAAACGCTATAGGGGGTTGCGGTTGCGAAAATAGTGAAATAGATGTATGATAGAAATAATGACAAAAAGAAACATTTTTTAAAGGCAGAGGTAGCAGATGTGATAGAGAGAGACGCGGATAGACTAAAAAACCCTTAAATTTTTTCTGTTACACATTTAAATTTAGGACAAAATTGACATTTTGCCTTATGAAAGCAATATGGCCGCAAATGAGATCGTAATGGCCGCTATTGCTTTCCGATGAGGCGCCGCGCGGTTTCTTGTGGCGAGGCACCGCAACGCCCCTACGGCACGGCTCGCGGCGCTATTGCGGCGTAATTAACTAGTATGGTTTTAACTACTGCTTTTCTTGTAATTTTCCTTTTAAAATAGTTGGAAATTGTGATTTATTTGCATGTGTGAATTAGATAACTGTTTTGATTTAAAATTGTACTTGTTTAGACGTGGGTCTGTTTCTTAGATCATAAATTGTCCAGCAATTCTTAGGGGAAGTAGTTTACTCTTTTCAGGTTCTCAAGGATGGGCTATCTGCTTTGCATGTTCCGTACGCATATGGTTTTGCAATTATACTGCTTACAGTTCTTGTAAAAGCTGCCACCTTTCCATTGACAAAAAAACAGGTTTGTCCTTGTTGAAATGTGCTTCGATAGTGTCGGTGAGCTGAAAATGATCAATACATTTTATGCTTTTGACATTAAAAAAGTTCATAATAGATAATATTCTTCCTTATGCCATTTTCATTCATCATGATTCAGTTGAACAAAATTTTCTGTGATTGTTCTCAGGTAGAATCTAGCTTGGCTATGCGATCTTTGCAACCTCAAGTAAAGGCTATCCAGCAACGCTATGCTGGTGATCAGGTATTTTATTTGGCCTCTATAAGTGTTGCTGTCTCCAATCAAATCTCTTATATAACAACGAACAACTATGGGAAATACCATTGGGTAATGTTTGAGATTTTACCCTTGCATTGGCAGTTTTAACCACGAAAGCATTATTTCCATACTTACTCCGCCCCCCTCGCACTGTCCGGTAATTGTATGAGTTGCTGTTTGATGGAATTGGAATGCCATTACTTCTGTTAGTGTGTGTTTGGAATGTTAAAAAATGGGATTTGGTTTGAATTGTAAATCAAAATTTGCGTTTGTGATGATAACAAATAAGAAATGATTTCATTTTTAAAATCCCATTGATTTCATTGCTTTTTCTTTACAAATCCTATTAATTTGGTAGGATATGGTGGGAATTGGTTTGAAATATAATTATATAGATTGACCACTACCCTTACTGAATAGCTTTTCTAATAATATGAAATCAAATCGATTTCCTTTCTTAATGAGTTCCAAACATAAGATTTGATTTCTAAATCAATTGAAATCCCCTTTTTTCTAATAAACTCCAAACTCCAAACATAGAATTTGATTTCTAAATAAAATCAAATCATTTCCGATATTTGAGGATTCTGAACACAATGTTAACATTTTGACTCTGTAACGTCCAACTAATGGAATTTTTTTAATTCAACCGTCAAGATTTATATATTGTCTTCTTGCAGGAGAGAATTCAACTTGAAACAGCTCGGTTGTATAAATTAGCTGGCATTAATCCTCTAGCAGGTATTCATAGCATGATTACCTTTAATGCAGAAGGTTTATAGATATTTCCTTTGGTTTTGAGGATGGGGCTACCAAAGCTTTCATATCACAAGTCCAGTTGTTTTCTAAGTTATTTCCATAATTTTGCCATAATATTTCTTACGTAAATATATGGAACTATAAGCATTGTTCAATCTTAGATATGCAAGAGTTTTCTTATGGCTAAGGTAGGTTGATGGAGGCACCAAGCAATCCAGTATAAAGTATTAATCTGATTTTTTAAATTTGAAGTTGGTAATTCTTTTGTTAACCTGTCTTCATTTTATTCCCAGGATGCCTGCCTACACTCGCAACAATACCAGTATGGATTGGGCTATATCGAGCCCTTTCAAATGTGGCAGATGAGGTATGTTACTCAGTATGTTGATTTTCTGATTGATGATTTACTATGTTCTGTTTTTTGGGTATATAATATCTTCCGTGACTAATGTTATGTTTTTGTCTAATATACAAAGGGACTCCTAACTGAAGGCTTTTTCTGGATACCTTCTCTTGCTGGTCCAACTACAGTTGCAGCTCGTCAAAATGGCAGTGGTATCTCTTGGCTTTTTCCTTTTGTGGTGAGTGTCTCCCTTAGAAAGTAAAATTACATGTGTTCGGAATATTAATTTTGTAACCTTGTAAGTATTATTTTATGCCAGGTCATTGACTTTCATACGAAAATTATACAAGACCAAATAGCGAACTGTCTCTTGATTTTAATCATTGATAAGAGGCATATTTCCTATACTTTCTAATTGTTTAGTTGCATGGAATGTTGGGAATTAGTTGTTTGATGTTTTGAAGAGGCATTAAGAAGAGGCATGTTTGATCTAGATTATTGTTAAAAATTTTGCCATATTATCATTGTGTTTAGTTCACATTGTTAATGATTTCTGACAGATTCGAAGTGGATTTAGATGTGAAGTTTGTTGTAATGTTTTTGGTTTAATCGTGTTACTTCAGGATGGTCACCCTCCCCTTGGATGGTCAGATACTTTGGCGTACCTTGTCTTGCCCGTGTTGCTGGTTGTCTCTCAGTACATCTCTGTCCAAATAATACAGTCATCACAGGTCAGTCATGTTTCATGTACAATTAAATCAGATTCATGTAGGTTCTAAACTTAATTTTTTCTCTGAACATTATTGACTGTACAAGTGTTTTCCTGTTGTGCTGTATAAGAGTTTTAGTCATGGCTAGTTATAGCTTTAACTATAAAACTTTTCAAGCTTGTTAATTTACACAATATGTTGGTATAGCTTTGGGCCTTTTTGTTTCCATAGCCAGGCTACCTAACTGGATTACCTTTTTGTCTAATATGTCATTTGAACCTCACCACGTCCCTTCTTCTACAAGGATTAAAGAAAACAATATTCATGTTAGTTTACATTATGAGTCTGCAGTCTGCACGTTAAAGTGCAACTGTGTATTTACACATGTATCTGAGTTACTCATCATTTTCCATGTTAACTTTCAGACTAATGACCCCAACCTGAAGACTTCTCAAGCCTTAACCAAGGTCCTTCCCTTAATGATTGGTTACTTTGCACTTTCAGTTCCTTCTGGTCTTAGCCTTTACTGGTAAGCATAAGTAAAAGCTTATGGTTTTTGTTTATTTAACCCTGTCTATCTATGTTTACTTATTATGCTCAAGTCGTGCAGGTTAACAAATAATATATTGAGCACTGCCCAACAAACATGGCTTCAAAAGTTAGGAGGTGCAAAAAATCCGGTGATGCAAGTCCAAGATGATATCATGAAGGACGACCTAAAGCAGATTCAGAAGCCAGTATCTAAACTAAATTCCAAAAAAACGGAAGAAGCTAGACAAGACGAGAAACTGACATCAGAGGTTCCACGACCTGGGGAAAGGTTAGTAGTTATAGGTAGCCACACTTATTCCATGATACTGTTACTTTATTTTCACCAGTTGTAATTATGCTCCTTTTTCTGTTGCAGATTTAGGCAGCTAATGGAGCAAGAGACAAAAAGAAAACAACAGAGAGAAGAAGAAAAAAGAAAAGCTGAGGAAGCAGTGGCAAAAGCAACTAAAGTAGACGAGACACATGAGAAAACAATTGAAGGAGGAAATCAAGCTGGACGTGATTTAGTTGTTGGAAAATCTCAGTCTGTGGCCACTGATACTGATCCATCCATATCTGGAGTAGTAAATGGTAATCCATTAAGTAAAGACTTGGAGGAAAGTCAAAATTCTACATCTACATCTGAGACACAAAATAATGGAGGTTCTGCTCATTTCAATGTTGTTGGAACAAATGAGAAAATTCTTGACAAGGTATTATTGCACGAATAAATGTCATTTTTCCTAATATTTATTGGTTGAGTATGCATTGCTTCATTCGTAGGTATGGTAGAAAATGCCTTTTAATTTCTATTGCTGAACATGTAAGAAAGTGGGTGAAGGGAGAAACATCACGTGCTTTTGGCAATTGACTCCCTCCTTTTGCAGGTAAGGGATGTCAATGTGTGTTGACACCCTCAATCACCTTTTCATTCGGCTGATGTTATAAGGATCTTGCAACTATGCAAGAGAATTTTGATTTTATATTTGTATTAATATCTCCTTTGACATGGACTGTTTGCTTGGCAAATTTGGTTACCACTTTTATGAGCCTTTTTAGAGTCCTATATAACGTTTCAAGCACTTCAGGCTTCTGATACTTGGTAGTTAAATCTGGCAATACAGTAATACAGATCATTATACAAATGATAGTTATGATTTGTTGATGCATAGAAAGTTGATAATTAAGTATTTTATTTTATTTTTCTTTGTATTTCTTCTTTTATGCCAAGAAGAAACATTCTTTTATCATCAGCATAAAGATAATTATTTCATAAATTCTACGATTGTGTGTCTAATTCATAATTTTACAGGAACCAAGAGAAGTATTAACAACTACATCTACCTCAAACAAGCAACCTCCTGGAGAAGACCCAGATCACGTGACAAAGGATTGACAATCTAGGAGTTAGAAATTCGACTACTGAAAGATTGATTAGCCCCCAGTTGCCATCTAAAAGTTATATTAGAAATGCAACCTTCCTTGCAATTCGATGTCTCTCTGGTTAACACTGTACATTGTCACAGAAATGGTGGACAGTGGACTGAACAAGATTCGAGAGGTTTCTACAATTGCTGTGTGGGAGTGGTTGTATTTGATGGCTGACTTGGCAGCTTCGTAGTTTGAGTCTGTATTATATATTTTTGATCAATTTTCTTAAGGATTAATGAATCCCTATAGAACAGATGCTTCCCAATATCCGTAATGCTTGTTATCTTTGAAACTATTTTTTTCTCGATGCTTCAATAAAACGAGATGATCTTGATTTATATGCTCTGGCGGAGATACTGTGATCGGAGAACTTCCATAATGCAACAGGACTAGATAGTGGGCTTTATATTATTTGTCATGATATTTTTGGGTATTGACTTGTACTAATTTTGACGGCTTAAAATTTTCAGATTTAGTGCAAGTTTGTTCAAGCCTTAACTTACGTGAAGTTAAGGAAAGGTATATTCTTTGAGTCACTATTTTTAGAAAGTAAGCACATCGTGTTTTGAAGTCGTTCAGCCCTGGCAACTATCACTTTTGCGTTCCATGTTTCATTTATTGACGCAATTCTCCGCATTGGTTGGATGGTTGTACACTTTATGAAAATAGATCGTTTCATGTTTAAAAAAAAATATGATCATAGGGTAAATTAATAATTATGATTTAATAATTATTTATTTTAATATTTTCTTTCATCTTTTATTATTGTTGATTCACTTTTATATAGTTACGATTGGTCACGTGATTATATCCTATCATTATTTTTTTTTTGGATTACATCCGGGTATATCCCACAGTCGATAGCCATGAGATTAATTTCTCGTCCCGGGTCAGCGCACAAAGCAGTAAAGAGCAGGCCACGGAATGCTTTTTCATTCGTAAGAGTTGGGATTCAAACCCTCAACTACTTGCTTAAGCGATGAGATGCTGAATCATTATTCTCATCCACGATGGTTTTATCCTATCATTTTTAACATACCACACTTTACATACTGTTTTGGCGGGTTCCTTGTAACTGGCTCATTGTGTGTTTAGCACGTGCACTTCTGAGGTGTTGTTGCGTGTGCGCCACGGTTTCATTAGTTTGCTAGTACAGTTTTGGTTTACACGTATCCTGTATAATAAAAATTTAAACTACACTATCTGCCTGTTGTACTTTCAAGTTAGGAAACCGTAATCGGATAACGACATCAAATGCGCGAGCTTTAGTTGAAAAATTGCAACTGAATGTTACATAAATGTGCATTACCTCACGGCTAAATAATCCTTATCATTAAATTTGTGTCTGTCTTATTTTGTTTTTTCACGTACTTGCATGCTTTAATAAGATTGGGTGCCTAGAAAACGTTGCAAGCTAATGTTGAGCCCCAAACAGAAATAGATAGACATCATCTTTCTCCCTTCTTTCTTTTGCGCCCTTAAGACACCTCACATTGTACTTTGGCATAGTCCTAGGATTAATAGAAGCATCAGCGTGCAATGCTATCAGCTACAAGCAGTTTTAGAGCCCGTTTCTTCTTTATTTTAAAAGTCTTTTTTATAAAAGTTAAAGTTATTTATATTTTTATAAAAAGATTTAGTTTTTGAAAAAAATATTTGACTTTTGACTTCTGCTTTTTTTAAAAGTTAAAATTTTTAACTTCTGAAAAAAAGTAGATTTTTAATTTTTTTTGTGACTTCTGCTTTTTTTAAAAGCAGACATTCAAATGAACTAAAACTGAAAAGTACTTTTTTTTAAGAAAAAAAACACTTTTCAATTTTTGAAAAAAAAAATCTCATCCAAACGGACTCTTATACACGCTATAAAAGCACTGCACTAGGCACAAAATCACGCACTTCATCATTTAAATCTTGTATTGGTGGTGACCCCATATTGTGTTCCGTACAGATTATGTGACTGTAGTTTTCTATACGCATGGTCCGTGTAAAACGTTTCGAACTCATGGCCGTGGAAAGGAGACATATTTGAGACATTGGGGAGCACGCTCAGCACGTTATTGTGGGCACTGTTGTACCTTAACAAGTTTTTTTTTTTTTTGGTTCAGATGGTATTCTTAAACTGTTTAGGTGGTTGGAACTTTTTTTATACCTAAGTGCGCAGTTGGCTTATTAATGTGCTTTTTTTTCTTTTTTAGTTAACCCAATTCTAATTATTTATTTGAAGTGAATTGACTCTCTTAATATTCTTATAAATTTTGACTATTTAAGTTGACTATGAAATTAATTCGGAATATATCGAAATTTCTTCAGACAACTTGATATGGTTTGATTTAGATCAACGGATGATTGGCAGTGTTTCATGGTTGGTGATAAGTGACAACACACTTAATACATATGGATGGTTTTCCACAATTGTAGGACAGGACCCGACACGCATTCAATTCATTGACCATAACAAAGATTTCGGTGCTTCACCCTCTCTTCTACAGCTGGCGCACATGCAAACTACGACCATATAAATTTTGCAAACATAACTTTCAAGATGATTCCCATTCCCTACATGTTCATGGAGATCATAGAGTCCCCAGTGCCGTCAATGATTGTCTTTCATATATCTTTGGATTCTTAAACAGGGAACGAGGAAATTTCTTATTCTATGTAAATGTTGGCGTAACGTTTGTTAAAAATAGAGGCCTCATGTCATGTTTGCGTGACGCAAAGTAGAATAGAAAAAATGAGTATTTTTATATACACGTTAACATTCATTTTAACTTTTTGTATGAGGTTATTGCTATAAATAGATAATTATACACGAGAGAGATATTCATATTATCATATTTTTTTTCACTACTAATTCACTATCTCTATAATCATTGTTGGATCAGTATTTTTTTTCTCTAAAATTTCTGGTAGGTGGTAGTGAAAAAAGTGATAGTATGAATATTCTATCTCATTATATACATACAAAAACATAGGGAAGAATCCGTTTACAATTTTTTTTTTATAAATTACACTAAGTATGATCAGTCATACACTCTTGATTGAAGTCTAAGAAGTCATACTTAATGTAGTTGTAAGAGTTTGTAAACAAATTTTTTTGTAAATATAATCTTCCCCTATAAAAATATACTTTCATAAAAATTTAAATTTGAAAGAAATAAGCTGGTGTGAGTGTGAACTGTGTCAAAACAGATACATATGAATTACATTTTAAAAACTGTTGTGATGCTGTCAATTTCCAAAATTGGTTTCCTCAGTGGCATTACTATGTGAATCTTTCTTCACAGTGCTTATAGTGGGAGACGTTGAGTCTATACCTCCTTGCTCCTTCATTATTGTTCGGATGTTCCGCAGTATAAGCCAAGACGGGCACTCTTACACAGATCGAACCAATGCTCATCAACCACGTATAAGCCATCAATTTTCCCTGAGAATATTACTAAAGATTTTCATCATAATAACAAAATGGAAGCATATGTAGTACCTGATGCTGATGGTGATTGACTAAGAAATATATTATGTCGTTGGGGTATACTTCCAAATTTGGAGCTTTTTTTTGTTTGCTTGAAATAGAACCCTTTGTTCTGTATCTCCTAATATAATGCATATCACAATCACTTTTGAAGAAATGTAAAACTTTAAGCACCTTTAAGATGAAATAGCTTTCGTGGAATCTATACCAGTTTTTTAAAAATAAATAATATGATATAAGCCTCTTATATAAAAAGAAAACCTATGGCTTTTCTAAATACGGTTTTTAAAAAGTTCAAAATTATTCTATTTGACTATATGTAATATGTCATTTAAACCTGGTCTGATGTAGGCTGAGTCGTAAGTCCTTGTTAGACAAGGTGAACCTTTACACCCCTATGCATAATAACTATTGAATCAATGGAAACGGATTGGACTGATCAACACGATAAGAAATTAAACATTGTTTTCAACCGGTGTTAGAAGAAATTGGGCTTGCTTGACCTGCACTTAATTTGAATGAAGCAATAGATGTTTGTTTGAAGGGCTTAAGGAACAAAAGAATTCAGACAGGAAAAAGAAATTAAGACCAATTGACAGGTCAGCTAGACAGAGGTACTCAACATTTTGATGAGTCAGAACTAATTAGATTTTTTTTTTTACACTAAAATTATGGTATTTAATGCTTTGTTTGGGAGTTGATTTTAGGAGGGGAAGAAAAGGAAAAAGAAATTAAGATCAATTGACAGATCAGCTAGACAGAGGTACTCAACATTTTGATGAGTCAGAACTAATTAGATCTTTTTGTTTTACACTAAAATTATGGTATTTAAGGCTTTGTTTGGGAGTTGGTTTTAGGAGGGGAAGAAAAGGAAATAAAGGGTTTTAGTAAGCCCTTCCCTTGTTTGTGAGTTTAAAAAAAAGAGGGGAAGAGTTTGGGGATTTTTACTAAACCCTCCTTCTTCTTAAAATTAAAGTTCTCCCAAATTGGAGGGTTTGAGGGAAAAAATATTAAAAACTACTTATCTACCCTTAGCATTAAAATGTTAAAACTACATAATTGTGAATCATTTTTAAATGCGATATTATTAGAAAAGTCTCAAATATCGACAAAATTTATTGACGAAAAATATTTCGTCAAAAATAGTGATGAAATTTTTGATGAAAATCATATACGTCAAAAAATTTCCGTCAAAACTAAAGACAAAATTAGAGACAGAACCAGACTTTGCCATACTCACTAACATAAATTTTGTACAGAAAAAAAATATTCAGTCAAAATTATTGATAGAATCTAAATTCCGTCGAAACTTTTAACGAAAATATTTTCGTCCAAAATTTTGAGGAAACACATTTCCATCGAAAAGTTTTGACGTAAAACAATTCCGGAAAAAAATTTTACGAAAAATATTTCCATCAAAATTTGTGATTAAAATTATTTCTGTAAAAAAATTTGACGAAATTTTTTTTTGTCAAAATTCTTTACGGAATCTAAATTTTGCCAAAATATTTCACAAAAAAACATATTCATTGAAAATTTTGATGCAAAATATTTCCATCAAAATTTTAAATGAAACACATTTCTATCGAAAATTGGAGACGAAAAAAAAATTCATCAAAATTCTTAAAAGAATTTAAATTCCGTCAAAAGTTTTCAACGAAAATATTTTCGTTAAACTTTTTGGCAAAAAAAATTTCTGTCAAAATTTTTAACGAAACACATTTTCATCGAAAATTTTCGACGAAAAATAGTTCCGTCAAGTTTTTTGATAAAAAATATTTCCATCAAAATTTCAACAGAACACATTTCTGTCAAAAAATTGTGACAAAAAATATTTTCGTAAAATTTTTTGACGAAAAATATTTCGACAAAAAATGTTGACGGAAAA